CAGGGGTTGGACAGGGGTTGGCCCCCCCTACCCCCCCCCCTAGGACCCCCCCTTCTCCCCCCGATAATCCCTCGAAAAACCTCTCCGAAATCTTTTGACCATTATTACTCTTTTAATAAATAAAAATATATCTATGTAAATGTAATTATCTATTATTATTATCATCATTATTATGCTCGCGCGCGACCCTATCGTCTCGCACCAGTACTTGAAAATATTCAATACCTTGGCAGCGCCGTCGCGACCATAGGATCTTCCCATGATACTGAACTGAACGCCTTGTCCATCAACTTAGGTTCCTGTGTGTAGTTAGTGGTTGTCGAAGTACGTAATAGGAATCGTTTTCTACAACTACGGGACAAGATGGACGTAGGGTATCTGCTAGAGCGAGTAGGTAGAAGTAGTCGTGTAAAAATCTAATATGTGCTTCTGCTTGTTATTGCTTGTTCTACTTCTATTCATGAAAAAATAGATTGTGGATCTACAAGTTCTCTGCGCCAGCGCCTCCGGGACTCACAACTTCTCTGCGCCAGCGCCAGCGTAAGCTCTAAGACAAAAATTTTTTTACGCTACCGCTAGCGATAACATATACAAAACAAGAACAACATTATCGTTGACATCATGGCCATTTTCACTGATGTTCAACAGGATAAAATCAATCAAGCAAGAGGCTCCCCCCGGGCTTGCCGCACTCGGGAAGAAATGAATTGTTGTATTTGTACTGAATCAACAATTTATTATATAGATACGAAGAAAATATTCAAATACATCCCAGCCGGCTGCACTTTCAAAGGCCGAAAGCATTTTGAGATCGCTTAGAAGGCCTCCGACAGCACCGGGGCCGCATTCCTTAGCCTTTTGGTGTACGAAGTCCGCCATGGGTAGTGCCTTTGCCAGTTTCTTTGGGTGCAAGAAAAAAAAGGAATCTATTTCGGTCAGTGATGCCGGTGCATTTGTTCTTCTGCTATTAGGTAAGAGGCTAGTTCAACTTGGCATGGCATGAGTCTCGCACCACGTCGTACATATACTACATATTACTATTAGACTAAACAATATCCAGGACAAACAGGGATAATTTTAAGGCATCATGAATTAAGTAGTTGGGTTTGAATGCTCATCGATCACAGTTCGTTGTCTGGATGTAGTCCTGTTGTGCATGTCCCTCTGTTGTTCAGGTTTCTCGGGGTTCCTTCTCGTGAGTGCAAATGCACATTCGTTTCGCTCACGTGTCGCGTAGGTACGCACAAACGTTGGAGTCAGTGTTCAGTTCACTGTCCGTTCAAAGTACCGATAAAGATATTTGTAAGTAAATGCTAGCTATATTTTGCATATGTTGAACACAAGCGCCACCTACTTGACAACGTGCATCAGCAAGTAGTCGATTTCATGGTGAGGACAGGAACCTCTTCGACATCAAACAAGCAGACATGAAAGACTGAGCGTAAAGGATCAGGTTGAACCATGACTCCTCAAGAAATCGAGCGGCATATCTTTTTTATCATGGTGAAAAACTATGTATAGCTTTTGTTTGTTTGTATCCATGCGCGGCTCCGGTCAACGCGTACAAAAAACTATAGGTTTCCATCTGTGTATGTCGTCTCCTTGTTTTTTACTCTTCGTCTGATGCTGTTTCGCGCGATCACCCGTGAAAAATAATGCTTTTGAAGCGCAGCTGGGTGCCTATCAACTCGAAGAGGAAGGAACCCGGATTGAGCATGCTCATGCAAGAAAAAGAAAGGCCACCAGCGCTATCGTTTCTCATTCAATAAACAAAACCAAGTTGTAACTACGAAAGATATTTTTAGGTTTAAGATAGCCAATAGGTGGGAAAAATACGAATAGCCAAATAATGAGACTTTTCCCGCCCGATATCGGGCCGAGTTGCTCGAGCTGAACGAGTTCCATACCAAAAAAGTTGGCGCTGCGCCCTTTGGGCGCATCATCTTCGAAGCGTCAAATACGTTGCCCAGGAGCGCGAACCATCTCCAAAAGCGAACGCGTCTAGTCGCGTCTCTTCTCTGCGAGGCGCTGCATGCGCGGGGCAGACAGGAGCAGCGCCACCCAAGGCCCCCCCTGCTCTCGTAATTTTGCGCTACTAAGTCAGCGCGCCTACCTAGTGTAGCTTCTGCCCTATAAAACAAATACACAAATAAAGCCACTCCATTCAGGTGCATCGACTCCGGAGGGCCTTACTTGTGACGCTACTCACTAGGCGGCGCGCTACCCAGTAAGCCCACTACAGCGCAAGCAAATGGGTGCCAAGGCGTGCGGCTGTCTGCTGAAGGGGGCCAGCCTCGTTCTAAAAAACAAGCCGGGCGCCCTCACACAGTCGCAAAACTCGGGCCCCAAGAAGTCGAACAAGCTGGCCACTCATCAGCAAAAAAAAAACAACGTAGCCAGATCGCGACCGACATCAGCGCACGACCATGCAGAGACTGACACCGACACAACGGGGAAAACGCTGCACTTCGCAAGGCGCGGGCCCGCGCCACTCAAACAAAAAAGCCCCGAAGAGCTCGGCCGGGGCGTGTCTTTTCAAAAATACAGACGGCAGGGCTGCCAAGAGACAACAGACCGCGCCTCTCTTCTGAACTCCGTGGCGTCTTGGCTCGCCATACCGCCGCGGAGTGCTGCGCCTTCAAAGTGGCAAGCTGCCCAGGGGAACGCGCTAGCAACTCTTTCCGGATTGGGCGCGCGCGTTTCGGCAACTCGTGGCAACTCGAGAGAACTCGAGCAACCCGTAACTCGAAAAACGGACTACTACTTCGGAGCATTACCATAAGATACGTATTTTTAGAAATCAAAGCGAGAAGTTCGTTCATCTTGAGGAAAGAAGTTAAATTTTTAGTGTCAGGAATGTTTCGATCGTCGAGACTGAATTCGGTCCCTGTACTTCTGCTGCTTGCGCTAGTTATTCGGAAAGAAAAAGAGCTCGAGATCATGATATATTACGTAGGAAGTTCTCATTCATCTCTGTTGTGAACAAGTAAAAAACTTTCATGAAACTAATACATAGATGCAGGTGTAGTTCATGCTCCATAGAGCATGACAAAAATTTCGGACAATCTTCACACCAGGAGACCCAAATTGAAGTGTTGATGATATTCGTATCATTAATAGCATCATCCATCTGAACTTCCACGAGTCTATTCTTATCGGATTCCATTTGCAGGGGAGTTGAGGCTCACCTCTGGCGCGGCGGTCATTCCTGCGATGCCCTTTACCGTGAGATCCGGATACTCGAATACCTTCGTCAATTTTCCGCTTGGCAGCTCCATAATCGCAGACTCGGGAAGTTTCATTCCGTACAATTGGAAATCGTGGTTCATCATGTCGTATATCAACTCTTCGAAGCTGTGAGTTTGGAGAGAGATGGGATTGTCCCTATTATTTTTCATTTACTTAGAATCATTCTTCCTTCTATTAAGGCTTGCAATAGTTCATCTTTAGGAGCATCTTTGACTCTTCTTCTAAGAGGGAAATGCGTCAGAGATGCACTTAAAGATGAAGATAAGCATCAAGGTCTAATTCTACCAGCAACCTCTACCTCTTAGTTACTTTTATATAAAAATGAAGTGATTGTCAGCTTATCCATCCTCAACAAAATTTAGATTAGTCGTATTCGTGATGTTTATTTTAGCAATTTATACACTGTATAGAAGTAAAGCCTCTACAAACATTTGACGAGTAGTACCAGATATCTGTTTTCCAGCCCATCTTATTTTTCGCCTTCGTCGGGTCACCGAGTAGCGTTTCGACTTCCGTAGGTCGGTAATACTTTTCAGAGATGTTTACGACTACTTTTCCGGTTATGGTGTCAATTCCTTCTTCGTAGATACCGGATCCCTGCCAACGGATGGGATGCCCCGCCATCTTGAACGACAATTCGCACAGCTCACGAACCGAATATTGAACGCCGGCTGAACAGTTTTTGCAAGAAGAGTTTCGAGTTGCTGCAGAAAGTTGTACCTGTAGTACTTTGACATTAACTGTACTTGTAATAGAAATAAATACAACTTCTGCCGGTCCATCAACAAGTAGAAGAGCTAAAATCAGAAAAAAAGTAACGAAATTAGGTACTCGCAAGAACGTAGTCCTCCGGGGTCTCTTGTTGGAGCATGAGCCACATTCCTCGCACGTAGTCGTATGCGTGACCCCAATCACGCTTAGCGTCCAGGTTACCGAGGGTGATTCGTTCTCGGACTCCAGCACAGATTTGGGCGACACCGGTCGTCACCTTTTTCGTTACGAAAGTACCTCCACGACGTGGTGACTCGTGGTTGAAATGAAGGTTGAAACGATTCCTAGTCCCCTGACATATTTGTCACATTTCTTCTATAAATGTGTCAAGTAACGCGTTCAAAAATGAGCTTTGCAGCAGAGTACTCAGTGCTCCAACGAAAGCGTTCAAAAATTAAGTGTTTCAGGCCTTAATTGAAGAGGATTCCGTTCACGCAGTACATGTCGTAAGCTTCTCGGTAATTCACGACTGCCCAAAATCCGTAGATTTTTGCCACCGCATACGGTGAACGCGGATAGAAAGGGGTCGTCTCCTTCTGCGGAATTTCCTGGACTTTACCTAGATATATTTATTGGTAGTTAAAGAAAGTTGTAAGAGGAGCGAACCTGACCGGTTCAAGTTGAGTTGAGTTGCTGTTGTCAGGCGTCCGCGTTGCTTCAGCATATTTATATAATGGAGAAAATTCAACTAAGGACTGCAAAAATCCGGACAAAATTCAATCTTCTCGGGCATGATACGAATCCGCAGAACACTCGCCGCCTACTGCGCTCCCTTCTGGAAAACCCTCACCCAATTGCGAGCCAAGAACCTCGGGCGCCCTCCAAATCCCCGCGCCCCTCCAGAATCCCCCAGCATACATTTGCAGGCTGGTGCGGTGGACTCTGGAGGGGCGCGGGGAATCACATGAAACGAAACCAAAAGACAGAAAAACCAAGAGGAAGCAAGTTGCAAAAGCCGCTAAGCGGAGCACTTCCAGGACGAGGAGGCGACAATAGTGACCGTTTTTGTGCAGTTCTTAGTTGACTTAGCGCCATTCTAATCAGCCATCTGCGGAAGCACCAGAGGCACAGCGAGCACGCCACACCATCGAAACTTAACAAAAAGAGGAGGCGCGAGCCCTTTGGAACTCAAGCGGCAACCGGTCCAGCCCTTCTTGAGAAATGCCACGAAATTGAATAAACCTCTCTATTGTTTGCCGCTTTCCTGCTCGCAAGGCCATTTTTGGAAAAAAATCTGAAGACATCTTTTCACTTTTTTCATCAAAAATGGCCTAGCGAGCAGGAAAGCGGCAAACAATAGAGAGGTTTATTCAATTCTGGCGAAACCCCCGCAAACTTCCCCGCTGAAATACTTCAAAAGAGTGCGAACAACGCCAGCAAACCCCCCCGACAATCTGCGCACAAACGGCGGCGCGCGTGAGTGGTCTGACCATTTGAAGGCGGCAGCGCGTCGCTTCTCTTTGTAACTAATCCCACCCGGCGCGAGAGCTTCGGGGCGCCGGGTGGTCAAAAGTCCAACACTTAACAACATGAAAAGACCCAAGAACGAAGAACCTCGGGCGGAGTGTCTCAAACCTTTCCGATTATGGCGAAAAATTCGACCACAGACAAGTGGAGTTAGAATGGAGAAAATTCAACTAAGGACTGCAAAAATCCGGACAAAATTCAATCTTCTCGGGCATGATACGAATCCGCAGAACACTCGCCGCCTACTGCGCTCCCTTCTGGAAAACCCTCACCCAATTGCGAGCCAAGAACCTCGGGCGCCCTCCAAATCCCCGCGCCCCTCCAGAATCCCCCAGCATACATTTGCAGGCTGGTGCGGTGGACTCTGGAGGGGCGCGGGGAATCACATGAAACGAAACCAAAAGACAGAAAAACCAAGAGGAAGCAAGTTGCAAAAGCCGCTAAGCGGAGCACTTCCAGGACGAGGAGGCGACAATAGTGACCGTTTTTGTGCAGTTCTTAGTTGACTTAGCGCCAATAGAGTAGTTTATAGAACGGAGGTAGGATGGACTTGGATGGATCGGATGGACCCCCCTGATTCTTCCGATCCTACTGGAAATGGTGGAAAGTCCATCCGTTCTATCCCATCCCGGATCTGGCACCCCTATAAACTGCTCTAATTATAAGTTCTTGAGAAGAAACTACTACATCTAGAACTTCTAGTAGCTACCACTAGTTCGTATATTCAGTGGGTCCAGATATCAACAAGTACAAGAAGAGGAGCCTCTATAAGCTACAACTACTTTTGATTCAAAATAAGTAAGAAGCGGACCATAGAGTTCGCTTGTCGATGCTTGGTAGAAGCGCGTTGTTTTCTCTAAGCGGCATGTGCGTAAAGCCTCTAGCATACGCATGGTTCCGACCGCATCGCATTGAGCCGTATATTCTGGTTCCTCAAAGGAGACTTTGACATGCGACTGGGCTCGAAGTTAGAGCTCGAAATATTTTCAGTTAGATTTAGCCTGTGACCCATACTAGCCAAGAAGGATCTTCAAGAATATCAATTCGATTTTGACTGTGAGTGAGCCTTAACCAAGGTTGTAGACCTCATCGGGTCGGACCTTCTCCAATATCGAACACAAGTTGCCCGTATCGACTAAGTCACCGTAGTGCAGGCACACTTTGTCGAAAATGTGCTCGATGCGGCCAGTATTGAAGCTTGAAGATCGACGGATGATACCTGGTAGGTGAGGAACTCGAAGTGGTGGACGGTCTAACGCCAGGAGATTGCTGCCTCACGCCGGATATGAAAGGCTGCAACGAAAGAGCAAGAGGTACTTAACAAGAAGAACATGATTTTTTTTCAGCAGGTTAGTGGTGTTGAAAATGATTCAGTTACAGTTTGCTTTAGCATGTTTTTCACTTCTCTTAATTACGGTACTGCAATCACGACTAGGCACCTACTTGTGAACTACAACAGTCAAAATGTTGCATGTGTTCTTACCGTGAACTTTGTATCCCTTCTCGAGGAGGAATTCGGCCAGATAGGAGCCATCTTGCCCAGTGATACCAGTGATAAGAGCCGTGCGCCTCATTTTCTCTGCTGTTAGAGCTACAGCGTTGGTCGTGTTTCTAAAATCAGCTATTAATGGTTCATAGAAATTTTCATTTCAGAAACACCTCAGGACCTGCGAGTCACAAACTTGGAGGCTTCTTTTTCAAGTGGAAAAAGAGCCAAGGATGGCGCTGAGGATGCATTAGCGGTAGCCATAATGCTGGTGCGACGTCACTCGTGTCAGATGCTACTTCTGCAGTTGGGACGCGCTCTGGACTTGGAGCAGCAACTCCTGGAAGACGCGGAATCTTCACCAAAATACAACCGGGACAAAAGACCCGGACGGTTTTTACTTCGTTGAAACGAAAAAAAACTACTGACTCAAGTTGTTGAATCCGAAGAACTAGTTTTTATCCACCTCTTCGTAAGTGAATAACTATTGTCCTAGCACTTCTTCATCTAATCTAAACAAGTAGAAGCGAGCAGTTGTGATCTTTCCGTTATTAATGAATATGATACGCGAGAATGGAAAGTAGGCCTATTATATTATAGAAGGACAAAGGGCCACGACAAATAGATAAGACTCACTCTCTTCAAGATCAAGGTAAAGTCAATGACCTAAATGAATGTAGCCAAAGTGCAAGTCTGTTGAGATAATTATGTCGGTCGCTGTTTGGCTGACCATCAAAAAAAAGGGCAAGAATTTCGCAGGCCAGAGCTGCGGGCTGTCATGATTACTACACCCCGACAAAATGAACGCAAAGAGAAGCACAGAAGTAGCGACATAATTGAAAAGCAGAGCGTTTCCATACCGTCGGCCGAAGCTTCAAAGCCAAGACCAAAGGCGTCCCTGCGATTTTGTAATTATGTCGACAAAAGAAGCGCCGCCTGAGATTTTCACGTCGTAAATTGTGCGCGGCTCTATGTTGGACCCCCCGAGGAAAGAAAATAGGAAGACTTGCCCTAACTCGTGGCCGCGGGGTGTAATAATTATTACACCACGGCACAGCGTGCCGAAAAATGGCAGAAATCGACATAATTGAAAACACATAAATGAACTTTGGCTCCATATTATACTAAAAATCTCTCTCAAGTTTCACGACTCCTCCGAATATGGTGTAGTTTGTGTGTTCGCTCTACTCTGGTCGTAACAACGACCTCATTTTTACCACAAGATCCACTACCATCTGAAGTTCTATCATAATCACCTCTCTAAGAGAGATTCACGAGGACCCCCTGGTTTCATATCTTCTGCATGATGACGAAAAATTGAACTACAAAAGCTATAGAGTTCACATCTGGATCTGCTAGTAGTATTCAGCAAAATCAATGTGCCACTGCCAGTGCCACTTGTTAGATCAAACTCAATGTGCCACTGCCAGTGCCACTTGTTAGTAGAAAATATGCCACAAGTTAGAAACCTCCTTGTTTATAATGTTTTACTTTCAGTTTTATCTACTCATCATATTTTCACGCATGACAAAGTCTCTTTCTTGATACAACTCGTTTCTTGTAGCTTGCACACACCCTTGCCATGGCGTTGAACACAGACCTAATTTTCCACATGTGTATCAAAAACGATCCACTTTTTTCCCACGCTTAGGAAAAAATACTTCATGTGAGTCGTGTTTGTTCTTGTGGGTAAGGGTATCACGTTGTACCCTATCAATACGATAAAGTCACGCTTCTCGTTTTTTCTAAAGAACAAGCGACGTGTTTAATTATGAGGCGAGAGTTGACAGCTCGTTTCCAAAATCTTGACTATAACGGAAGGAAGAGGAGTAGGCAGATCACTCGTCAATATACACTCCAGGCCTACGCTTCTACCTACGCTCTTCTCATAGCTAGATCTATTGCTACTTATACCAAAACCAATCATGAAGATACAGATACAACGTTGTCCAACGCCGGAATATATACTTGATATATCCGCAATTAATTGGAGCTAAATTTCATCTTGATGCATGGAAGCAGCACAGCGCCTAATAAATGCGTCTTTCGAAAACTTGGTTAAACTATGAAGAGTGGCCGGTGCACTTTTGTCAATGATCAATCTGTGATTTGCAAATGTAAGCAATAATCGTGATTCGAGTTCGACATGTTTGTGGGTTGTACTTGATCGGGTCCGAGACTACGAGTTGATGTTTATGATTATGCACTTTTTTTGAATAACAATGTGAGCACTATGGTCGGATCGTTAGCACGCATTTTTTTATCGCCTGTAAAGATGAAGAGGAAAAATACCATTTGTTTCATGTCTCAACCTCTTCAACGCGATGAAGATTTGATTCAAATCATGTAATCAATTAATGTGCTCTTGCTCATACTTTACATGCAACTGTACAAGAATAGACAATCTCTTCTGTCAAACTATAACTCTATAACTTGACAACCATTATTTTGGCCGACTACTCCCAGCCACTCGCCAGTTATGGTAGGCGCGATGTGCACTGGTTTTCAGCTCTGGATGATGTCGCATGTGGTCCATTTGATGGGAGAGAGCGTCATGGTGTCGTAACTCAGGCGAAGCAGCAGCATGTGCGATTGCTGCTTGGGTCTCATCTATTTGCTTTTCCGGTGGTGCGTAACCTTGCACAGAGTTTGGGGGACGCACGGCTCCTGCGAGAATCTGGAATGATCAACATGATGTTGTGCGAAGAAGGTAATGGAGATGGTGTAGGTGAAGGTGTTAAACTGATGAAGCCAATTGCTGCAGACGCAGCCTCTTCTGTCCATTATGTCATAGATGAACGTCAATCAAGAGCACAGTCATCATACCCACTCACCCTTCTTAGCCCGAATTTTAATCGGCGACGTGCGTCGAAACACAAACACTGATTCACTAAATGAAGATTGTCGTGCTGTTCTGTTAGTGCTTGTTGGAAAAAAAAATATGGGTAGATGTAGTATTACCTGATACTCGCCTAGATAAGCCCCAAGCTGCTCGATTCGCATCTGCACCGCTTCGTTGTACTTTCGACGTGCAACGCGAACCTGAGTTGCCTTTCTTGCTTCTCGAGCTAATGAGCCTGCTGATACTTCAATATGCTTTTCGTTCTGTGCAACGTCCTCCGAAAGCGCAACTCCAGCTCGTTCGAGTCCCTCTCGCGCGTGAAGGTTCAGCTGCTCAAGAAGATCGACCTGTGTTAGTGGTCTTCTTGATATGGTGTTGGTATACTCGGTATTCTGTTGCAAGCCTTAAACGGGGAGGTCGAGAAGATCTGCGGGTATTTGGCCTCTATTTACTTACCACTTGTGCGTGCTTAGTGCATGCGTCTTCATCTACTGCGCAAAAAACATCTTTCTTGTATTTCTACTACTAGAACCAACTTCTAAAGAAGGGTACAACATGAGCTCTGCCACAACTAGTACTTCTCGTTCTCATCTCTTTCTAAGTATGAGTACCATGCTAGCAACAGCTCTCGTCGCCTCTTGTTCTCGAAACTGAGCTTCGTTCAGTCTGCTCTTCGTTTCTGGTAGGTTTTCAAGCTGTCTGCGCAGATGAATCAAATGCTCTTGGGCACTTCGCATTTGCTGTTGCCTCAAATCCAGCCAAAGTCTGCAGTTTTCAACATGTCGGACCAACTTGCTGCTGGAAATCTCATGTCGTGTCGATTGAATTTGCTTGTTTTGGGGTGAAGATGGTATGACTATGATCTACTAGTGAAGAAAATCCGTCCTGCGCGTGTGAGTGGCAAGGATTCTCCTGCTTACTCTATTGACAACACCCAAGAAAGTCATGTGATGCTCTCGGTTTAGCTACATGCTTCGATGTTCTTCTAGGATCGTGATATCTCAAGAAAGAGAGCATAAGTATTTCTTTTCGGAGGCTAAGCAGTCTAAAGGAATAAAGCTCATAGTACTTCGACATACAGTTACAGATTGGTTGGAGTAAGTAAGTAGGTTGTTGTGAGGTCGAAAAAAAATCTCATCAACATCAAGTTGTGAGAAAGTACCCGCATAGCGTCTATTACTGCCATTAGTTCTTTTTTGTTCAGGTCGTGATGCCCCTCGATGTTCTTGATCGCATCGATGTCCTGTCTTGCTTTTCCGATAAGAAGGCTGGACACCTGCGACAGAGAATTGTCAACCTCGTCGGAGTTCAAACTTTCGATGAATTCGTTCAACACGTCGAGGTGAAACAGGCCTGTTGTACGTCCAGGCACAGTATTCGGATCGCCACTTCTCGCCACAACTTCTGCTGCAGCATCACTGGTGCCATCATCTCCAATGAAAGACACGTTGTTCTTGGAACTAGACACAGACATCAAAGGACCGTCTGCTCCATAGCTGTATTAGAGGAGCTCAATAAGCATTCCATTTCTTTCCCCTTCCTTCTCATTGATTTCTTCAGAATCCCAGGAAGGAAACTACGAGAAATGACGGGGAAAAATGAAATATATTGAGCCTTAACTGTACATTCCATGTGATTTCGCTTTTATTCGCAGCTTCCGGGCCATCGTGAGTCGCTTTTCAGCCGCAACTCCGAAGTCGCAACGCTTCGGCGACAACGTTTGGCGAGACGGAAAATAAGGCCGCCGTGCGGCGTCAGTCTGCTCCTCGATGGCCGTTCTGATTAGAAAAACGGTGATTCATTGTGGAGAGTATTGATCTTATGCTTATGTTGTATGAGTAGTATGTAATATCTATCAGAAAATTTGTTAGTTTATCCATAGACCTTCAGCTTCAGGCACGTCGAACAAGAACGAAGGACAATGTTTGTGGAACGATACTTCTGAGCAAGGTACTATAGATACTGTCTTCTGCGTTGGCGTGTTGTCGTCTTGCTTTTCCTAGGTAAAGATTGATTTGGATGTATTAAGATCATATGATTACTTTTATTACTTATGCTTAATATGTCGGAGAAAAACTAAAGGCCTTAAAACAAGTGCGTCTGTTGGATCCGCTGACGTCTGGTGGTGGGTCATCTTGCGCTTCACCTCTTTTTCCGTTTGTCCTGCAGACACCATAGATTGTAGACGCGTTTTCCTTTCCTGCCGGTCTAGCGAGTCCTCTCGGTCTTTCTGCGGTACTATCCCAGCGTCAAAGTGCAACGACCGCCTTAATAGAGCGCAAAAGAACTCATTTCTTGGGTTCATTTCTTCAGAATCCCAAGAAGGAAACAGAAGAAAATGACCATTGGAAACAAATTATTTTGAGCCTTAGCCTTACATGGGAGTTGAAACTGCTAGTGCCTTGTCGCTTCCCAGCGGTGTGGTTCATAATGGCGTCTATGTTAGCCTCGCTGTGAAGGAGCGCTGTGGTCAAATGGCTTCTGTCGCGTACTTCGGAGGACGCGGCACGGGCCTGCTTATCTTTTTGATTGCTACCCCCTGTAGACGATCCAGAAGATGCCTGCTGTGCTCCTGACTGTGTCTCTCTGGTACTCTTCTCGAACGTGGATGCTGAAGAACGTAATGGCATAGCCTGCGTCACGTTCATGGTCGCGCGCGTGGGTCTCGTTAAAGCCAGCACGCTCGGAGCCCGCTCCTGCGGTTTGTACGAGCTTTTCGTACCCGCTCCCCCTCCCGAATTTGCTCGGGACTTAATTTCGGTCTCAACGCGGTTCCACGTTGACTCCGCATTAAGGGCACGCCGTCGCCAGTATTGGATCCTGGGTGTTGATGATCGCCGTGAATGATGCATAAGCATAAGCTGTTACGAGCTTCTTGTGCTAGAACATACGACACGAGGAGCGCGCTCCAAAACATACATTCGACTTCCAATTACAACAAAGTCAAGGGCAATGCTTTGAAAGGAAAAATACCGGAAGACTGGAAGAAAGAATGAAGCTGCAGGAGCAGCGGCTACGTAGATAGTTTTTAGTACCCGCTCACGATTGTTGTAAAAAACCCAGTCCGTCGAAGAAGTACGCGAGTCGTCTTCTGGACGGGTTCTTTAGACTATCAAAATTCAAGTACCTGCTCGCAGCGGTGAGCCAGTGTCGTAGTATCTTGCCGCGACATACATCTCTTTGGTCTAAAGACATGTTCTCCCAGGTAGTTTTCATCGACAGTGAAGGTATGTGCTGTCTTTGCACGCCCGAAAAGCCTCGAGGACTAAACATAGGACCGGGGCCACCTCCTCGCGGGGAGGGGGACAGCATCCTTAGTGGTGTCATCCCTCCTCCTGTGTGCTGGCCTGAGGGCATCCGAGGGTGCGAGGATGCAAATGCTCCTGTATTGTGTGCTGTCGACGAGCCAAAAGTCGCTACGCCATGATGACCAGCATGCGGATCTGTAAATGAAGGAGTATGAGCTCCAACGTGCTGTTGGTCCGGACCACAATGAGCTGATCCTGCTGATGGCGCGCCAGCGCCATGTGCCAGAGGTGCTGCACCATGATCTATCAGCGTAAAAGAAGGATCTTCTTTACTCTTCCGTTGATTCTCAGATGATGAAGGAGGAACATCTACTCCTTCAACACGACGCGCATTCGGATCATGCTGTTGTGCGCTCTTTGTTGAATGTGCTAGGGCTCCAGCTGGTTCAACATCATGACCAGGACCAACATCCGCCTTTGTTAAAGGTGGTAGTCAATCAGTATCCGTCGTCAGGTGACCACCTGCCCTTTCATCTCACCTCACATTCTCCCCTTGACTAAATGCTAAAAAGGATCGGCCAACATATTTCTCAGGCTCACAGTCCATAACACCAGATCGTGATTGCCTAGTAAACTTAACACACCAGATAGTGATTGCCTAGTAAACTTAACTTCGTCATCGCACCAAAGTGCATACGATCTGACTGCAAGACAGAACGCTCATACTCTCCGTCCTCACGCTTCTGAGTTTCAGCATTGCTGGTAAACACGGTCACTTTTTCCTGCATCGACGCACGTGCGCGTTTCGCGTCCTCCAAGTAATCGTCCATCAACCGCTGCATGTTAGACGAGGACTATGATATTGATATCTAAGGTAATTTATTATAATTAGTAGATCTAGTAGCTGTAGAAGTAAATAAGGATGTTCGAAGTTATTCATATTGTTATTGATTCACCGTATCGGTATCCTTCTACTTCTGCATTTGCCAGTGAGAGTGAATGAATCTCAAATATACTATTAATACGACGTCGCCCGTCGATTTCCATCCTTGCACGAGAAACGCACAGATGACGATAGAAAATTCAAATCATTGCAGCCTTGATCGCTAGCTTTTCTTAAGATAGTATGGTAAGACATCCTGCTGCTTGGCTCCGACCTCACCTGCGGTGCCGGTGCCCTTTCCCTCCAGATCGAGTAAGAACTTTGGCTTGCCACTTGTCGCACCATTCCCCTCTCCCGCATCACCCGATGCTCTGCCAGGTGGCGCGATATAGCGAGACTTCCGAGAGAGTGACTGCTCCTCGCCACCCTGAGGCACAATTCCGATGCCACCAGATGTGGAACTACCTTCCTGCATCTTGGTCGTAACGAGGTAGCGTTAATATGCTAGAGCCACTCTTCCTGCTGATGATTTAGTGAACCTATTTGGCAAGGTGCCGATAAAAACGTACTAGGGTGTTACCTTGGTTCATTCCATCTGCTAGTGTCATCCTACTCGTCTACGTCTACGTGTAATTTGATTCTATGCCTTGTCGGATATAAAAGTTATAGTTCGCAAGTTCTTAGGAATACTTGAGGTAGACCTTTCAATTTTTGGACCTACCAAATCGAAACATGCATCAGGTGTAACAACAGAAGAACGCGGACGCGCTTGTGGGGAGCATCCCTGGAAAAAGACAGACTCTCGCTCGAGACTTCGACTATTTCTTTGTTTTTGTTACCGAATCCTTTACTCATAACCGAATGCTCAAGACGGGAACCACAGCCATTGCGATTTCATTTGCAGGAAGATTAATCTAGAAATAGTACTACGTTGTGCACATGAAGAAGATACAACAACTGTAAGTACATTGGAAAATACAAAGAACATGCAAAGAAATACCTCTACCTTTCGCTATAGCACGACCGATGAAATCTTCATCGTGCTCTTTGTTGACGACTTCAGTCCAACATGTGCAGTAGAGTTTTAACACGACCGACTTCAGTTCTTCATGACCTCCGATGACCAGTAGACCGACTTTTCAACTTAGAGCAGGATCACAGAATATGCTGCACCTCACGGTGATCACGATCCCAAGATATTACGGAAACTCTGTCAGAGCTAGTGGAGCGTCAATCTAACTGATATTGTCCGAGAAGATCCAGCACTTGTTGATATTGAAGAATGAGCAATTGCCATGATTTTTCGAAGTTAATTCAGCCTGTTCTTAGAAGTTCTCTGGCTTGCGATCTTGCAGGTGCATGGCTCCAGAACTGCTGGGCATAGGAAACATTGCACTTCACAGCCAACAAATAATAAGATGAGCGTAGGACTTTCCAAGGCCAGTATTTCGAAGGAGTTAGAATGTAGAGAGGACTTCAATCAAGTCGCTGAGGCAGCAGGCGTCTGGCGTTAGCTTCGTGGTGTTGTTGTTGTTGCTGTTGTTGTTGTACCTTCTATAAGGGTGAGAGTTTGGTTGTGGGTTGTTTTGATGAAAGTAGGTCACGAAGTAACTTTAAGAGGCGGCTATACAAAACCTAGAATATACATAGCGACGAGAAAAAACCGAGGCGCCGAGGCGATACAACGACGATGCAGTAACTAAGAATATCATATAAAAAACGCGCGATACACCATCACTTCTTGGTAACGACTTGCTTAAACACGACTTCTCAATGTTGGGAGTGCGCTGCACACAGACGCAAGAACATGTGGCACCAACCACAGATGTTGTAGATGAAATTCAAGTGGTAGTGGATGTGCTGGAATAATGAAACTCAAGTGGAATGATATCAATACATTCTTTGCGTTTCGCTCCTGATCAATCCGGTTGGTACGTTTACGCATTGTCATCCCAAAAAAATGAATTTTCTTCATCTCTTGGAGTTAGTAAGTTGTTGCCAAAGCGTTTTCTTCAATTTCACAAAGTCAGTGAGTGCTCATGCTCTTGACCTCGGTCTAGTTCTCTTCTCCAAATTCTTGAAAAAGAAATTTACACGACGAGGTAATCATAACTTGGGTCCGGCTGATCGCCACGAGAACGGGAACGTTGTTCGCAAATATGATCATATTCTTCAAAATTTTTTTTAACAGAAGACAAAAATTATATATCTATGTATAATGTGTGAATGTTTTTTTAGAGGTTCGAGAGTTGTAAACAAAGTGAGCTAAAGACAGAAGTTATATATAGATATAGATACACGGTTCAAGGTTCAAGGTTTAAGGTCCGCGGCTCTGCCGCCAGGCCGCGTTATCCTGGACGAAACAGGCTCGAGTAGAGCCAGGGCTACCGATGCAAACAGGCAGGAGTAGTGTGTATGTAATATACACATCCGCACCTCATGATATCAACAGAAATCTTGAACTTACCAAAGACCGAGAAAAACCATCCACAGCCAGATCGAACCTCGCGCGGAAAACTCGAGGGACAACCTGCTAGTACCGGAGTCTTCGACCGCGTCATCCGCAGACGCTGCGTCCGGGTCTCCATCATCCGCAGACGCAGCCGGCGCAGTTGTCAACGTTGTCGTAGCGCTGCCGAAAACGCTCACCTCCTTCAGGCGGATCACCCGACCAGTGTCGGTCTCACTGGCAAGAACCGGTAGGTCGATTACTACATAGCGTCCGACTTTGTTCTGGCACTGAATGGTGGCCGTGCGGCTGTCGCACCCGGTGCCCGGTTGGTGTTGAAACCGCTCGTATCCCGCACCATCAGCGTACTTCATGCGTTCGCAAATCTCAAATGCGTCGCCACTGGGGCAAGCAGGCCCCTTGTCGTCCGCGCCGGTGCTGGTAGACGCGCAAAACACTTCGTCGCCTCCTCGGGTCGTTGTACATTTTTCCGCGTTGGACCGAGCTTCATTTGCAAGCAGCACGTACATCCCGACGACCGGTGCGGCACCTGCTCTTTTCGGAAACGCCTCGTTGGTGGTGTCCCAGGGGTCGATTGGCGGATTTGCACCAGGGAAGAGGCGGCGACGGAAAAATCTAATAAATATTGCTATGTCTCACTGTGATGGTGGCGCTCGTTTTTTGCTTCTGTTCCCCCAAGGCGATCTGCACCCAGTGGCACCGTTGAGCCGCCGCATCGGAGACCGGAGTTGCAATCTCGGTATAAACATCTCCGTCACAAGTCCTTTCGTGCGTCCAGACTTTGCAACGTTCGCTCGACATCGTCACAACGGCCGCGGAATCAGCAGGCGTGATGTTTTCCGTGGCCTTCCCAGCAGCGTCTGAGCTTGTGCTTGAGCTTGATGTGGAGGATCAGCTACTAGACCGTTGAAGTTGATGTGCAGAATGAAGCGAAGAAGATGACGCTGGAGGTGGTACTGAGATCGAGATGGTTCCAATTTTCGAAGAGCTGGTGGCGGCTGTTGTAGTCGCATCATCTCTAATTCTGACCTCTATATTTTCGAGGTGGTTACGGAATTACATTCCTCAGAATATAATCCCTGACTTATAGTTTCCTAGTGAAAAAAGAGTCAGGGACGCTAGTGAACGATGTAATTATGTGGGATGAACCCTTAATTAGTGGTCGACGTGGTCGCTTAGATGCACCTTCAATACTCGTTCTTCGGTAGAGGACACTCAAGGAACAGATGAAGGCGATCCAAGTGGTGCTACAACAACGCCAGATGCTCTTGTTTCGACTTTTCCGTTTTTGTCATGCCTGCTGTGAATCGATGGAACTTTTAGTTCTTGCGAGGAAGTAGTATCTTCATCTTCCTCTTGATGTTCGTCATTCCTTGTCTTCATCTTCTCGTTCACACCGTCCGGGTCTACGTCCACATGAACTACGTTCTCATGATCTGGCGAAGAGGAGCGAGAAGATGTCGTCTCTGACTCTGCGCGCAGCGGTTCTTGCCGAAGATGTGAACGTTGGGGGCGACGCTTCTCCGATGCGACAGCTGCCACAAACATTGTTGTTCTCCTCGATAGTTCTTGGGAGGACATGAAGAAGGTCGTGGTCCTCAACCTCGCCTTCTCGTCGAACACGTTCAGGAGGCACCCGAGTGCGTAGTTGATTCTTGATGCAGCACGACATGTTCTTGAGGAGGTTCTTATCGATGTCGCGCGCCGCCGCTCACTCACATCGGCTACGGGTACGGACTGTCTACTCATCTTTGCTTCTTATGATTCGGAGCGTTGCACTCGACGGCTGAGTCCTCTGCTTTACCCCAATGACGAAACCCAGGTTAAAGTTCTATTCTTCACTCGAAGTAGTCAAGGTGTCGTGAACGTGATCGTGAAGGTGCTGTGCGCTTGCTCTCCTTCTTACGTCTTCGTCGTCGATGAGCAGTGAGCTGTACCAATTTCATCAAATAAATATGTTCGTGCAAGTGCATCAGTCTTCACTATATCAATGGTATCGCCGCCATTGCAATGAAGATGCTGATGTTGTAAACATTTTATTTTTCACGACTTCTTCTCCGGTCAAAATACAGTAAGAGTAAGAGTCGTTCATACTTAATATTTCCAAAGCAGGAGAATGCAGGCGATTCTTCCCGAATAAATAAATGCCCCTTTTTCCAACGGTTTTCAATATACTTCTCTTGCCTGATTTTTTGCGCGCCTCCATTTTTTGTATTCACAATTTCTTTTTTCATCCTACTCGGAGTCAGCAGATCAGGGGATGGAGAACACAATAATGGATACTGTTAACAGCTGTTGCTAGCATCTTCACGAAATGGTGTAGCTCAAGCTTCATCACATGTCGCAAAAATATCACCGTGCTGCGTGGCGTCAGACTTTCATGGCTATCAAGGCTCGCGGTCTTTACTCAAACCTACAAGTACAACAAAGCGCGGGCGAAAAAAGAGGAGTCATTGTGATTGACAACACCTTCACCGCCCTATCAACAAAACATCATTCTCAAATCAGGTAGAAGACCTGGGCGGTCTTTCAGTCGTCCACGCTTAGCCCACCGAGATATCCTGACATGATGAAGCACAAGTTCCCGCCAAAAAAAAAAACGAGCACGAGCACGACAACTTCTACAGTTGTACTAGACAATAAGTCGTTCTCGTTGCGGTTGCATCGCATCTAATGAAAAACAAGCCTGCACTACCACTATCCCTGCAGCTCACGCTTTAGTGACTGTAGAGCTTGGATTTGAGCCGCATGATTAGAGCTATCCCTTATTCTTTCATCTTGCAGTTGCATCACTGAAAGGTATAGGAGAGCACTCCCCTACAATACTCCCTCATACGTTTCAAGGATGCACTTGAAAGATGAGTTAGTGACTAGAGCCTTAACATGAGTTTCTTGCAGCTCCTCATAGAATTCTGCGTTTCCTTCGAGGTTGTCGAGGAAAGTGGTAAGGCTTTCGAGCGTGATCAGAGAACGAAGTTCCTGTATCCCTGCAAATGCATCATATATTAGAAGATGAGAAATTTGAAGTAGCGCAAAGATCTCGAAGACTAAAAGTTGTAAAAATGAACTAGTAGTTTCGAAGCTGATATTAAATCTACAAATGGTGCAGTTCTGTGGATCAATGAAGAAAATCTACTTAGATCATGAAACGCCAATATTTATAAATATGGGATCATCTTGCGTGTACGTCGACCACGTCATTCGTCAAATAGAATAAAATCAAAATCTCGCCACCTCGTCCTTTAACCTTTCTCTAGACCTAGTAGAGATTTCTTGCCTTAACAAAAGCGCAAAGCCGGCTTTGCGGACACGCGACCATTCGTCGTTCGCGGTAGCATAGACGCGAGCGAGGACTTCCGCCCAGTATGAACCTCCTGACGCGGATACTCCAGCTTTCGATGCAGTCGTAAGTTCTTCCAGGGCAGTTGCACCGGACCTCGCGAATTGTTTCTTCAAGTGCATGATTAGAGCTTCAGACGACGTTCTTGAGTGAGGTTCAAGGTTCGATGTTCTCGAGCGATTAATCTTCCCACTGAATGTTTAATCATGTCTTCAGCAACCTTCAGGGTTCCCTTGTTGTTGAGGCATTTTATGAAGACAAAGAAGAACAAAGGAAAAGATATAGTAGAAACAAAAAAGCATGAGCAATATGAAAGTGAGTCCGAGATTGAGAAAAAAAATCTTACTTAGTTTAACGAATGAAAATGAGCCCTAGTATGAGGACGCGGCACAACGCGCGCAAAAGGGTTACTTTTAGCGTCCCAGTCCCGTGGTCGTACTCCAGTAACCAAGCACCGAGGTAGGAACCTAAGTCTGCAAAAAACGTTCGAGAAGTAGAACTGCTGGCTCCACCCCCGCTCGTCGTCGTAGTTTGAGAAGTAGAAGTAGGTCCAGATGAGTTCTCGTACAAGCAGGACCAGAGTTCAAACAGAGGTGTGAGAAGCTTTTCGGCATCCGCGCGTCCCCGAACTTTGGGCGTGAACGCTGCAAAGGTTTTTTCTGCCTCGTCCTTGAGCTCAGCCTCCTTTCTGTCGAACTTTTTCGCCAAAAAATTGTAGATACCCTCCACGCGGTTCGGCGGAAGGTGTGAGAATAGCTGTAATGACTCCACGAGATCAGACAAAATAGAAATAGCTTCCGATCGGTCAGTGTCGGAAGATCTACTGGCTTCGACCATGTCCAAGCAGAGCTGAATGTCCTTCTGTCGCAGCTCTGTGGCGGAAAAGTCACCTGATAAATAGTTTGACTTTATTGTTGGGCGATCGCAATGACTTCTAAAGTGAAGAAACGTCAACTTTTTACGTATTTGAAAGGTGAATCTTTCTACCAGCAACAAATCAATTTTCTTATAGATCACGACGGTCGACGTGTCCTTCTACATGAACTAGTTGTTCTAGTACACGAATGACAGATATTATCGGACGACAGCAAGAATAACCTGCACAAGCTCAGGTAACATTGCTCACGATATAATGTTGTAGACGAACAAGAACAAGAAGAATGGCAGAGTAGGGTTTCCCTAAGTACCATTCCTTCGGTTCACTAAATCCCTCGCATCCGATGGTAGGCCCACTGCTGCCGTGCCCACGTCAGAGAAAATTCTGTTAAGACCCATTCTTAGATCGATGAGAGCGCGCAGGATGACGCTGGCCCCGGCAAAAGAAAGCTTGTATTTCTCCACGCTCGCAAGTAAGCTATCTGCAAGTTTCAAAAGTTCTGGCAGAAAATCGGGCAAGTCTTCCACCGCAGATGTTGCAGTACTAGGTCTTGCGGCAGCAGCTGGGGTAGGAAGGTCTTGTGGAGACGTGGACGCCAAACCAGCATCGCTCGACGTTCCAGATCCAGCAGAAGCGCTATTGCTGTTCATCCTATTTATGGATGAAGATGTACTAGCACCGATCAAGTCTTTCGCCAGCTGGACGGTCGCTCGACAGGCCTGCATTCGAGTAGGCCGGTCTTGCGAATCTAAAAACACGGTGATCACCTCCACAATCGGCTCCAGCGTGATAGCCTGCCGCACGCTGAAGCCTAGCTCCAGCCACAGGGCGTTCCACTCACGATGTATGCGCTCTAAGCTATGAAAGCGGTGGAAGTAACTCTGCGATGCAAGCCTGTCTCTCAAGTTCAAGGAGCGTAAATCGCAACCACGACGATGAATCTCACTCAGTGCTTTGGCGGAGGTCTCCAAGAAGCCAAGATCCGTCGGCGTGTGCAGAACAGTTTCCTGCTGTTCTTGATGCTGCGTACTCGACGAGGGAACTGCTCCTCCCGCGGCCGCTGAAGGTATCGATGAGGAAGAGGACGTTGGAGAGCCTGGTGCTCCATCTTGTTCTATCGCAGCCCCATCAACGCCGGTTGCTGGTGGGGCTCCTGTCTTGCTCTTGGTCGCTACAAGTTGTACAACCGGTGCTGTAGTGGAAGCAGGACCCGAAGAAGAAGAAGAGGAGGCTCCTGTTGTATTAGAACCTCCTGCTGAAGGCAGGAGCTTGCCTTCGACAATTTTCGCGATTGCGACACGATCCTCGGCCCTTCGTGCCAAGCCCGCGAAGGCAGATGCAGCGGCGGTTTTCACGGCAATCGAATCATCTAGTAAGGAGCTTGCCAGCGCTCGCAGGACCGCCAAAACGGACTCTTGTGTAAAAATGCCAGGCGACTCGGCAGACATCATGCCAAAAAAATCGCAGACGCCGACGCGTGTATTGGATCCAACGCCCTGGCGCATTAAGCGCTTCAGCGAAGGGAGCAACTGATCCAAGGCTGCCCTGTCGAAACTCGGCAACAGCCTACGCAGAAGACGAAAACTGGCGCTGTCTTTCGATGCTGCAATGCGCGCGGCTTCGTACTTTTCGCCCGCACCCGCTCGGTTGTAGTCCCATTGGTATTCGGCCACCTTGCGGTGCTCGAGTGCGGACAGCGACTCGAGGAGCAGGGGAACGAGCTCAACGAGAAACGGCTTCAAAAGCTGCGGATTGGCGGTGAGCTGTGCTATCTCGTGAATAACGTCGAAACACAGGGACCGCGCGTGGGGATAGAGATGCAAAAACGAAAGAAGCATCGGGAGCGTTTTGGCCAGGGCCGCCTGCACTTCTGAGGTTGCGGTGAAAGTAGGCAAAGTAGAACTGGTGCCGCTTGAAGAAGTACCCACTGCCGATCCACCTCCTCGCGACGACGACCCGGCTCCACCTCCAGCTGCCACCGCGGAAGCCATGTTCTGTCCTGCACTGTTGCAAAGACGAATCGTGAGAGACTTCAGTGCCCGTGAGAGGGGACCCGCTACTGCTTCGATTTTGGGTTCGATCTCGTCCACCAGATGCACCACCGCCTCCCAGAGCCGCTGCCATTCGGGCTCCAACTCCCGCCAGCGGCGGCCTGACCGTATCAGCTGGGTGGCGCAACGGCAGCTGGCCTCTCGCACCACTACTTTGGACGAGCCCAGACCGTTGCGGACCAGATTCTGGTACACCCGCGGCCAGGGCCCTATGTCTTGCACGCGCTCGATGCCGTAGTAATTCAAACTGACGCTAACCACGGTTTCCCGCAGCTTGTTGACCGAATGGAAGAAGTAAGGCGGAAACTGGTGCAGGAGCTGGTCTCTGTCGGCAACAAGAGGCCGAAGCCTCTGTGGCAATGCGAGGTTCCGCGCGTCCGTTGCTTCTGTGACAATGCTGTCGAAGTCGAAGTACGACGACGTGGAACTACAACTACGTGTTGCTGCCCCAGAGGAGGAAGACGACACGGCTTGTTTCTTAGGTGCCTCTTTCACTCCCCCATTCGCTGCGTTTCCCGCAGCCTGCATCGCCTCCTGCAGTCGCTCTTGCTCTCGTGTGCTCAGAGACATCAGAGAATTTAAGGTCGCAAGCACACTTGTCAGCTGCCGCTCTGGAGAAATAGAGGTTGCTGACATACCGTTCCCCGCCTGCTGCATGCCCTGCAGACGGCGCGCGAGTTCGCTCATCGCAGAACTACCGGCGCTACCTCCTTGTTTTCCGGAGCCGTTTATGGCGTCCAGCAATGCCGCTGGAAGCATCGCGCCTCCGGTCGGTTGGTCCAGGCACGCGATAATGAAGTTGAGGTTTCCCAGTTGCCGACACAGGAAAAGAAGCTCCTTCAACTCGGTCTGCCGCTCCCGTGCGGCAATGACAGCGCTATCCTTCGAGTTCTCCAGAACGTCTTTCTCACGCGCAACTAGAGCAGACTCGTTGTATGTCCGCTGCTGAACGGATGTGAAAATAGTTTTCACCACAATCGAATTGGTTCCAAACATAATGGAGGACGCGGGGGCACATGCCGAGGTCGTGTTTGTAGCGCTGTTTGCCCCTGATGACGTCACAACGTTTAGGGTTTCGTCATCACCCAATCTGGCGACTACTGCCTCACCCGCGTCGCCCCCTCCCACTGTATTCGTGGAGATGATCGTCGCGCTCGCTCCAGCACCTTCGGTTGTACTATTCGCCGATCCTAGTGCTGAAGATGCAGTCGAGTTCACCTTGTTGCTACCGTTCGTTGTCAACGCAAAGAGACGGACGAGACCTTTCGCTGCGACATCAGAGACGAACATATTAGACAACATTGGCAAGTGCAATCCTCGAACGAGTATACGCGACAAGAGCTCCACAGTTTCTGGAGACCTCAGTGCAGGATCAATCGTACTATAAGCGTCCTCCGATGAGCCTCCCGGTACGACCTCAGTATTATCAGAATGTGGCGTTGAACTTGTTGAGTTTGACATCTCCTCCATCTGATGTTTTAGGCTAGTCAGGATCCAAACAACGGCGTGCTTCACCGGAACGCCACCTGTCGACGTCTTGCCTCCCGTCGTAGTTGACGAGGACAGTGCTTCCCTGATGCTTTTTATCGTTTCTGCTGATAGTGTTGTCGGCGCCCTGCTGTTCCTCTTGCTGCTCGAGTAGTCGGCGTTTGGTACAACGAGGCCATTTTTGGCAAGAGTTGCATCCGAGGATGCTGTTTTTGATGGCGATTTTTCTGAGGTCGAGCTTGTATTGGTTGTAGTCGGGAGTGATAGACCATAGTCGCCACAGATAGCTAGAATATCCGAAATAGTTATCCCAGCATCTCCCACCAGGGCCAGGGCTACCGCACACATCCCGTCGTCCCTGTCTGCCCAGTGTTCTCGCTGACTGATTTCGACGAGCCGCGGAATGTCACGGCAAACCCCCAAGAAGCGTACGGCACTGAAAGCTAACTCGTCGCTGGCGGAAGCGCCCGCTCCCAAAACCAAGTCTGCGTCTTTAACGGCAGCAACGCCACTTCCGAGGACCGCTGGAGCGCCGAACTTTTGCACCAATATTGTTGCAGCGTGGAGCTTGCGCGTAGAATCTAGGCGAAAGGGTGCTGAAGATTCCTCTTTGTAGTTGGTGGTCCCCTCACTGTTGATGACCGCACGACCTCCCGAAAGGATCTCAAGTACGAGCTTGAGCTCACGACGATCCTCTTGTTCTGTCTTTGGTGAAGCAGATGAACTAGTAGTGACTCCTGTGGATGATGTAGTCGTCCCTCCCTTTGCGAGCACTGCAAGCAGCAACAGCACAGTATCGCTCAGTAATTCGTCACGTGCGAAAGCTCCACCTCCTGCACTAGCCGCACCAGAACCGAAATACTGCTCATGAATGCTCGAGAAGAGGTTGGCACGCTTCTGGGACACTTCGTTCTCTAATGCGAAAGTAGGCCCTTGAGCTTCTTTCGAACTTTTGCTGACTAGCAAAGCGTCTTCATCGAGGTCTTGGAGAAACGTTTGTAGAAACTGAGCCCAAGCGAGGCCGTCTCGCGCAAGCACGATTTGATTTACAAAATACTCGAGACGACGCGCAAAGGCTGGAGCTAGATGCGTTTTTGCGATGTGCCATAGAAGTCGGTATGCCTTGAGAGACCCAGAAAGGTCAGCCAATTCCAGTAAAATAGCAGCATCCTCGACTTGGATCATTGATGGCATGAGCGACACACCTGGGCCACGGTCACCCTCATCACGTCCATTCTTGTTGTTCCCCTGCGGATCCTCTACCTGGTGCGCATCAATAAGGTTTTGCGGTGTGCTCCCAGTGGAGTCAAGCCGTGGACGCTTCCTTGATGATTTTTTGAAAAAATGCTGATCCTCGTTCACCATGGCGTTTTTATCTCCCAGAAGATATGAAGAACTACTGCCTCTGTTCGGCGCCGCACAGTTATTCACTACAAACTCCACCAAGATCGTCAGACTCGCTTTAGGCAATTTACTGGTCGTTGAAGACGCTACAGTTGGTGACGAGAAAGTGTGGTCGCCTCCTCCGGATGTTGTAGCAGGCATCGTCGTCGCCGCCACCACACCAGCCTGACGCAAAAATCGCATCATTGCCGCGACAGTAGGATACCTTCGGCTTGCGTCGTGAGCCTTCGCCGCTGTGGTCGCGACCTCCTTGTCAGCATCTCCCTGACACTTGATGGCGTAGAAGCGATATTCCGGTGACTCGGGTGGAAAGAGATGCAGAACCCAACGCAGTGCCTCTTTTCTTACAAGGGCTTGCTTGTTATCGACCAAAGCATCGAGAAAAGACGTGACCGCTACAGTCCTGCTGCTTGACGATGACGATGACGATGTCGTGGAGGTGGACGCACTTGAGGACGATGTTGCTTTTTCTGCGGTTCCTGTCGTGCTTTCTGCAAACCACAGGAGCACCCCATTGAGTGCTTCGAGGATCTCTTCGCTCGCGTCAGGGTTGGCGTTGAGCAACGCAAAGAGCTTGGGAGCGACCCTTAGTGCCTCTTGCGATTGTCGAAGCTGCTTGCGAGTCAGGTGGCCGTACGCGCGGAAAGCCAAACGTAAACTCTGTGACAAGCTAGCGTCCACGATGGCCGTCGGAAAGAAACTCTGCTCCAGGCTCTTCAGCACGCGCTCTAGGACATCCGCCTCGTACATTAGTCGAGCATACAAATTCAAAATTGCACCTACTCTATCGAAGTCGGCGAAGACGACCATGAAGGAACATTAAGACCTGAGTAGACCTTGATAGCAACTGCAACACGCATAAAAATTCCTTGTCTACTATTTATGACCCAAGGCACAGGGCGACGGCGCCCCCCTAGCGTAGGGGGGGCACCGTGCTCCCTGGGCCCCTTTCTAAGGCATCTACCGGGGGGGAAGGCCTCAAAAGGGGGCCAAGTGACCTCCCCCCTCCGCTCCCTTCCAGCTGCCTGGCTGTTCCCTAGGGGGCTCCGATGATGGCTAGGGGGGGCGCCGTCGCCCCGCGCCCTGGAACATAATTTTTGCAAGATGAACTTAGATAGTGAAAGTGATTCTACTTGCTTCTTGCAAGGGTCGTGACTGACTCGTAGCCTTAACACTGTGAGTGCTGTGTTCGTATTGCTTTTCTTGTTCGCCCCAGAAGAGATCATATCTGTATCTTTATGATCGGCGCCATCCAGTGCAGCTGAAGATGGCGTTCCTGGTGGTGTTGATGTTTGTAGTTCATGATCAGTCACGCTAGAAGCATAGTATTCGCTTTTTTCCGAAAGGTGGATACTGTGATTCTGGAAGAGAAAATCAGCCGTGTTGATCAGTGTCCCTAATGCTGCTTCTCGCACGAAAACGGCGTCGTCGTTGGTGCATTTCAGAAGAAAGTCCACAACGACGTGGAGCAGTAAAGGCGAAGATCCATCGGATGGTGGCGCTGCTTTGTTCGCTCCTTCACCATTGCCTGTCGCCGACGAGTCCGCGCCGCTCGTGAACATTAGAACCAACAACAATCCACGCAGTTGAAGTGCATCTGAAAGAGAGAGCGGGACTCCATGCAGTACAGTAGTAGAGTATGTGGATAGATAGCACGTTTTTTTAAATCCTGTTGCTTTCGCCCTTTTTGTCGAAGCATTGTGTTAATACGTGCCCCATACGCGGGCCCAACAAGGGCCCGCCGGTGCCCGAGGTTGTAAAGTAGACAGATAAGAATACCAAAGGAAACACCTGCGCACGTCAGTCACGCGGCCAGTAGGTTGCGGCCAGCCAGCTCAGAGCCGAAGCGAAGCCCTAGCCAGCTACCTAGCCCAGAAGCCATAGCCAGCTAGCTCAGAAGGCATAGCCAGAGACTTTAGAAGCTGGGGCCACCTGGCTCAGAAGCCCTAGCCAACTTACTAGCTTAAAAGCCACAGCCAGCGAGCTTAGAGCCCCTAGATGCCTAGGCTGGGAGCCATAGCCGCTAGCCACGAGCGAAGCCGTAGGCAGTGAGCTCAAAACCAATGAGTGGCCCGCCCGCTCACTCGGAAGCGATAGCAGGCCAAGTCAGGCTTGACTTGATGCACATACCCACCGATCAGCTGGTAGCTGCAGGCCAGGCTTGGCGGGCTAGCTTACATACTTGGATAGAATTAGAAGCCAGCGCCAATGGATGCGATGGCCATTCAGCTCCGAAGCCTTGGCCAGCTAGCTCGGAGGCCTTGGCCAGCTAGCTAAGAAGCCTTGGCCAGCTAGGCTAGCTTAGAAGCCATGGCCAGCTAGCTTGGGTTGGGAAGCCATGGCCTGCTAGCTTAGAAGCTTTGGCCAGCTAGCTCAGAAGCTGTCGCCAGCTATCTAGTTTCGAAGCTATGGCCAGCCAGCTCAGAAGCCATCGCCAGCTAGCTTAGCAGCCATGGGCAGCTAAGTCTGAAGCTTTGGGCAGCTAGCTCCCAAGCTTTGGCCAGCTAGCTCACAAGCTTTGGGCAGCTTGATGCTAGATTACTCTCTTAGAAGCCGACGGATGCCATGGCTTTGGCTTGCTCGCTTAGAAGCCAGCTAGTGGAAGCTAGCGCAAGCTTTGGGCCGTTAGCTTCGAAGCCATGGCCACCTAGCTCAGAGGCCTAAGCCAGTTAGCTCAGAAGCCTTGGGCAGCTAGCTCAGAAGCCTCGGCCAGCTCCCTAGCATAGAAGCCACGGGCTGGCCAGCTCGGAGGGTCTAAGAAGTGACAGCCCCGCGACTTCTGTGGTAGCCGCTTCCTTAAAGCGGGGGCGGGGCCTTTAATAGCCGACTTTAAATTAGTAGGGTGCTTCTTAAGGGCGGCACACCTTTGAGGAACCTCCCTTCAGGAATTTCCTTAAGAGCTTTCCTTAAGAAGGTGCCCTTAAGCACATCAACAAAACTGCTTTAGCCTATATATAAGTACTAATATTAACCAAGTACTAGTACCTGATCATACTCTCGTTATAAACATGGATTTCAGGGACCCGCCGTAAGAAAAACTGTATTTGCAACACGCGTTGCTGCAGAACCTGAAGAATCTTTGTTTTGAGGCGGCCGCTTATGCTCGGCTGCGTTTGTGCAACCTTTTTTACAAGCATGAGCAGTAGCCTCGTGGCTGAATCCTCACCGTAGCTCTCAATGCGGTGCTCCAAGCGCTTGTGCAGGGATTCGCTGCGATTCGAAACCTGCTCGTACCCTTCCAGTGTTCCCAGGAGGTAGCATAAATACGCTCGATGAACGACGGTTTGCTCTTGCTCCTGTAAAATATCTTTACTCGATCTTGTTGAAGATGATGCTGCATTGCCGAGGGGTTCTTTCTTCTCTACGGCGTCAGGAGCGCTTTTCATCAGCCTAGTCTGGTTCTGGGATGCGCCTGTGCTAGTACAACTATAATAACTAGAAGCGCCCACTCCTACGTCCTCTGATTGTGAAATTTTCTGGTCTTCCTCGATGTGTCGATGCTGCTGAAGTTCTGCCGCTATTGGACAACTTAGCTCGCAGAATTGAAGAAGCGCGCTTTTGGCCTGTGTGATGGACGCCAAAGCCGGCGGCATTTTCTCCAATTTGCTTTTCCACACGTTCCACTGCACAGCTGGGAGCCCTGGGACTTGTGGCAGTTTAATCTCTACTGCATTGCTCGGAATGAGCATTAGCTCTGCGCCGCACGCAAGAAAATCTGATAATCCCACAAATTTCCTCGTCGAGGTCGTCGTGGCACTCGTAGTCGTCATTGTTGCAGAAGAACATGTTGACGAAGCATGGTCGTCCGCCACGAGAAAAGGAAGTCGCAAGAGCTGCGCACGCTTGGCTGCTGCAAGCCCGAAAAAAGCGCTCCTCGCGTTTACTGGGTAAAGGAGTGCAAGGGCATGCAAAATCGATAAACACGCTTGAGGCTTCTGCGCCGTGGAGAAAAGATGAAAGCACGAAATCAGCTTTCCTGCTACAGCTGCTGGCATCCGTGCGCTCTTCAGGAAGTCCACTGCAGCTCGTGGCAGCTTGTCTGCTCCTGCTCCAACCCCTCGTTCTTGTTGAGAAGTGCTAAGGCTGGAATTAGTTGGTGGTCGTGTTGTTTCGTTCCCCCGCTCTGCATTTCCGGTTTGCAGAGGTGCTGTCGACGTTGAGGCCGCAGACGAGGCCGAGGGACCCAAAGCAGATGAAGCCGCTAACCCCAATTCATCGCGCAATACGGCTTCCCCTATCTGCCCATTATCGACGGAAGCGAGCACGTTGAGGCGCTCAACTGCAAGATGCAAGAAAATGCTGCTCAAGTTTCGGAATAGAATTCTTCCGATTTTCGGAGCGTCACCACTCGTTGCAAAGGCTGCG